TTTCTCATTACGGCGTTGAAACTTTGAACAATGAAAAATGGTATTAGATTTTCAATCGTATTACCCTTTCGATCGATCGTTTGTCATTTACAATCGGTCATGTTCTTCTTGCGAAGGTATCCGATCCCAATAAGGAATGAGCTTCCACAAGCCAAAAGCAATCATTGTGTTTAATAGCTCCAAGTTTTCTGTGCAAACGAAAGCCGCGTTTTACTCATGTTATTATTTATGATGAAAATAGTCGATGGATGCATATGTACACACCTACGCATGAAATAACTACATGTTCTGTAGATATGGTATTAACAGCTTTTACAAGAAAAATAAAATAAAATAATAAATATCCATTACACTCGCAATTGCAATTTGTATACCTCAGTGTATTATATCCTTTAAACATTGTTTGGAATGCTAATTTTATTAGAAATGTTTTTAAGACGTTGTGAAACGCATCTTTTTAGTGGCCCAGCAGAGATATATATATTTTTTTATATACTTTATTTAACAGCAATCAGAATTTACAAAATTCTATGAGCTATTGTGCTTATGTTTGAACTCACTTACACAGTATACATACTCACACACAGTCATACACACACACAGTCATACACACACACATAAATAAATCGGCTGAATTTTAAAAATTACAATAGGTGCCTCCATTGAGTGGTAAACTAATATGACTGAGGTAAATATCAAGGGCGGGATATGGACTTATCGAAATAGATCAATCTTCAAATCAATTGGAAATTTTCTTTTGAGCCTCCTAGATCGGGGTTCTTGAAGAAGATGTTTAACTATTTCATTGAGATGGGATTCCAACTTCTCAAAATGGCGATGACTGGTACTGGTAATTACATCTTTCACAAATGGTATGTTCAAGTCGTCATGAATAATTTTGTTACTGACATACCATGGAGCGTTTACGATCTGCTTCAGAATTTTTGATTGAGCTCATTGAATTGAATCAATGTGAGATTTTCTTGCACATCCCCATACTTCCACACCATAGGTCCATATCGGCTTTATTATTGTTTTATATATTAGTAGCTTGCTCAATAGGTAATTTGGATTTGTTACCTATGAGCCAGTAGAGTTTCTTAGCTCTATTTTTTACTAGAGCTATTTTTGAAAGTGTATGTTGCTTCCAGGTTAGTTTGCTATCTAATATCATCCCGAGATATTTTGTTGAGTATTTAACTGGAATTGTCTTATCATGAAGCAGAGATATCAACCGGAACTCTTGCTTATAAAATTATACCTATATCTAGTTAGAAATATGATTTTATAAAATTTTGAGAAACTTTAAGTCTAATTTTTCTATAACTTGGTTTGTCTATGGACTTGAATGCATATGATATGATATATTGCTCGCGGGATAAGTATATGCTGGTTATCGCAATGCGGTGAGATGCGGTTGAACCAGCGAGGCTTAGTTCCTCCCAGCGCAAGAGAGATCATTCTCGCATTCCTTGTTCTCGGTTCAGTTGCAACTTCTTTGATCAGCATTTGATTTGTGCGAGCTATTATCCATAAAAAATACCTAAGGCGCTAAATTGTTCTACCGGGGTTGGTCGATCAATAATAAAACTTATACTTTATGATATTATAAATTAATGATTTTTACTTTACACTGATACTAATATGAATTAAAAACACTTTACTTTTTTTTATTCGTTGAAATAATAGTTTTTTCAAGTAAATGTTGGTTCATTAACTTTCCGAAGTAGATATTTATGTTTTCATAAAAAAATCGATTCGCTAATAATATGTTTTCCCGACGTTTCAAGCCATTCTGAATCGAATGAGAAAAATTTGGAAAAAGTGTGTGTGTGTGTATGTGAACAGCTTTTTCACCGTAAATCGACGTTTTCTCAAAAACGACTGGACCGATTTCAAAAATTTAAGACATTCGATGTATCTCGATGACGACTAGCGTTTATCAGTTTTGCGCAACGATCATCCGAGCCGTTTCTTTGTTGTAAATCGCAGAAAACTGAAAAATTTTCGCCTACGTTTTAACGATTTATAAAATTAAAAAACCGTTCGAAAGATATTGGTTGGGAATCAACCTGATTACTTTTTGGTAAAGAAAGATTCTGAGATTTGAGAGTGAATTATTTTGGGAAAATTTTCATGCAATCATTTTTTTAGCGATAGTTATCATGGTCTTCTAGATCATACTAAAATATTAAGGGACTACGACAAGTCGTTTAACTTTGAAAATTCGTCAAAGTTTGAAAAAATTAATTGCGTTTTTTGGCGTTTGTCAAAAAACGCTTGAACCGATATCAAAAATTTAAAAGTAATTTGATGTATCTTGATGAGGATTATCGTTTCTCAGTTTTGTAAAAAAATTGTAAAACTTTTGTCCATGTTTTTTGTCGATTTTGTCCATGTTTTTTAAATGTTGATTTATTAAATTATTTTTTCTAAACATATGCAACATAGCCTTTTTTTAAATGTTGATTTATTCAATTATTTTTTCTAAATATATATAACATAGCCTTGCCATAACATTGGACTATTTTACGACAGAATTGGCCCATAAGGGTTTCTATCAATCATAGTAAAGTGATATTCATACAATATTCTGCGATAAAGTTTTTCGGAATATCCAACGGACATGTTTGCTAATCTCCTATAAATGATTAGAAATAAGCTTAATATTAAATTATTTTTTATAATTAACATTTGAATTTTGTTTATCGATATATTTTTCTAAAACTGTAATTCAATTTCACTTCAATCCTTTTGGAGCCTATCTTTACAATCAACTTGAACTTATTATTTGGAGACTCTACATAACAAGTTACATGCAGTTACAAATTATGTTCTGTGTTTTAAACGTGTTAATAGCTGCCGGCAATTTTGCGTTGGTTTACAATGTTATTATCCATTAATGATCCATTCGCATTTTTCCTGTTATTCTTCAATCTTTTATGATCCTCAAATGCTTAATAACCGAAGCTTATTTAAATTCTAACAAAATGATCATAAAATTCATATAAGTGCTTTTTGATAGCGTTTCGCATTAAAATGCAAGGTAATAAAGATTCATTTGCATTCTCGGTAAATATCACTTTATTTACAACTTCATTATGAGTGATTTTATTTTGGTTCAATTTTTGAAGCACAGTAGAAGTTGCACATAGTTATGTGGCCTAATCTTTAGAGAAACAGCTGTCATTGACCTTAACGAGGCAACGTTATAGGTAGCAATAACAATAATAATAATGATAATAATAATCGTCTTAATACACTCGTACCAATGCTATTCTGATAATATTCGTAACTTGAGATATTCATAGAACAGGTCGTTTGCATTTCGCATTTGTGAAGAGCACTGGAGACCGGGGATGAATGTTTAAATTTTCATTGGTGCAATGATTTTCTATAGTATAAATTTGAATATAAGATATTTATTGATATATATAATTATAAAAAGTTGTGTGTAGATATTTATTTCAACGATTTGACGTGATTAGTGGTTATACAAATATAATTTGATTTACAAAACTGTTTTATTTCAAACAAGGGCTGCAGCCTATTGTTAATGGCACTTTGGTTTTGATGAAATATCATGTCTGTTTTATGTAGCATGTACGCAGAAACACTAAAAAGATATTTCTTAAGAAATCCTAAAGACTTCTTAAGAAAAATTAAATTTAATTAATAACTAGTTGATTACATTGTTCAATGATAAAAAATGTCAATAATGCTATTTTGATATTTACAAAAAAGGAGACGAAATTTTACTTTGTTCAAGCTATTGGTTTATCAGCCAAGTGTTGTTCTTAAAAAAATATAATAAAGTAAAAGTTAGTGAGAATCGAAAATCAATCTATTTTTTCCGGTTTCTTGTACTTGCAAATGTCTGAATGTTTTACCAAGTCTTTATGTCTTCGTGTTGTTATTATTTTATTCGATTACGTCTTTAAGAATCGTAAACAGTGTTTCTTACACTTGTTTCATAAAGTCCATGAAATATCTTTGCGTAGGCAATAAAATCGAGAAAATAAATGGCGAGATTGATCGTGTGTTATGTTTGTACTCTTGTATTTCCATTCCTAAGACTTTTGCAAATTACATCCGAGTCGGAAATAAACACCATACAAATCATTATAACAATTTACGACTTGATATCAAGTGCAATCTGGCGTATTGTAATAAATGTCCGAATAAAATATCGTTTTTATTAATATCATTTTATATCAGAAACTCATTTGTTTAGAATATTTGTCGCGACATGTTTTGATATATCGGTATTGACAAGTTTTTTACAATTGAGACCAACAATAAAAAAATATTGTATTCTATTATATATTTTCAATTGTTCCATCAGGTTTAATTTTTGCATATTAATGTATTGGAAATGCTGTTTGATAAAGATAGTTTGAAGCAATAATTCGCAATGTGGAGCGCACAACTCCAGGGCTATGAGGGCAATTTTTAAATTCATAGTGGCAAATTAAAAAATGACACGACTTTAACTCGTTCGCTTTGGGTGATTTGTAATGATAAATATTTTAGATATTTAATATCAAGATAAATATTTCTTTAAAAGAAAAAATATATAAGATGGAGAAAAGATATATAATATGGAGAAAACTTCTAGGAAAAGACCATAAAATATCCAGAAATAATGAAATTAGCAGATCATATTTTCTGGCGAAAACAAACCTCTTCTTCTAATAGTTAGAAGAAAGAAATTGACTTGATTGAATGTAGAAAATTTCAATTTCTATAACATGTTTCTCTTATGATGTTAATTTAATAGTTATTTCTAAAGGCTTATTTTTCATATTTCTTAAAAAACAAAATCATTTTTAGGTCAAAAATTTTATATGAGGGCCACAACATATTTAGAAGTGTTAAGGTGGGGCGTGACCCATAACCGGTTGGGAAACACTGGTTTAAAGTATATGTCACAGTGATATTTTTATAAATTTCTTGATATTATCCTTTGACATATTATAATAAATTTTATCATTTTTCAGACGCCAAGCATACCTTGGCCAAGCACTTTGACGTCACGAACTAGTGTTTGCCTTCATAAGCGCAAGTCGCCTTCCGATATGATGGCAGCAAACAAGGGTAAGTTAAATATATAATAATCAGCAATTAACCATGATATTTACATGATTTTTTCTTTAATTTTGTTTTATCTTTTCTGACTTTTATTAACATTCTTTGTGCAGTTATTATGCTGTCAGAGATCCAATCACAGAATTGTAGTAGAAAGCGACTATTATATTCTTTTTCTTTACATACTGTTAGAATTGCTATAGGTGTAGAAATAGTTATTATATAATTATTTTAATGGGGTGTCTACGTCAGGCGGAAATGCCTTCCTCTCGTAATTATGCTTCAGCAATTGAATTCCGGTTGCAAATTGCGCGCGTGATTTAATTTATAAACAAACTTCTATTTCATATCATATCCAAAGAAAAAGCAACACAACCTGCATCAATGCTATGCAAGATGCAGGTTGTGTAATTGCTAAATTTTTTAACTGGTAGAATGGTATTTCATCTAATTTATTAGTTTCTGTGCATTTTTTTATTCGCATGATTAGTTTTTTATGTGTAATCTTTATATGTAAGTAATAATGCTGCGAATACTGCGGTGCTGAATATTGACATAACTTACTAATTAGTCAAATCGCATACATTACCATAAAGTAGAAAAGAATTATTAATATAATCGGAGTACAGTATGGCATTAATGTAGTAATAAAGATAAATGCTTATATTTGTTCGGTTACATAACTTTTTACATTACTCGTTAAATAATTAAGGTATCATGGTACTTGAATCCCTAATTACATGTTTTATTGGGCTGTTTCTGAGCATGAAGATATATCATAATCTTAATAAAGAATAATAATCAAGCTTACTGTTATAAGTACTATAATTTTATGTGATCAAATTTTATACAAATATCAGCATATTTACTTAGGATTCAAAAAATATTATATAGAGATTCAATATAGTCTAATACTATATATAGTTATTCAATATTATATAGAGATACAGTAAATATTTTTTTTAATTCTATTATATTCAGAGAAATCAAAATCTTACGTCTTATAAGCTGTTGGGCTGAAACTTCTCCTTACTTGGTATTTTTTTAGATGGTAACCCAATGGGTAATCCTTTAGTCAGCTGTGAGGGCTATTTTTACTTGGAAACATATTGCCATCTATATTTTCAAGTAAAAATTGTTTTCATTACAGTAAACATAATATAGGGATACAGTGAACAATTTTAATATTTATTATGATGATAACCATACCGTTAAGCGATATTTTCAAATCGGAATATTACAATATGTATAGCGTCCTTATGTGAATCTATATCCGATCTATTAAAGTTAAAGACTTTTTTTGTTTGAACAGCGATCAGAACGTAAGTTTTTTAAAAATAAAAACATCTTTTTATGTTTAATATAAGACAGATTTTGACAGAACATATAATTATTTACATATATGTATGTCTATCTGTAAACACTGTAGGTATTTTGCGAGTCTATAAAATTGTTTTGCAAGTTATGCATTCATTTGCTTTGCTCATTGTCGATTTAAGCAATACGTGGAACAAATCTGTCATTCAGTCTTTGTGTGCTTGGCTGTACTTTATTAAATGCTATATTCTATACACTTTACCAGTAAAAAAACTCATTTCTATATGTGGTCTATATTGTTATTCGCAGTTTATTCTCTTCAGTTTTCTTTGTACCTGCAATAAATATTATACATATTGAGCGCTCATATATATGTTCCTTTGTGATGTTTTTATGTGGCGATGCACGTGTGTTCATACAAAATCTATAGACTATAATAACATGTGTTCTACTTTAGTCTTTGTGAGTCTTTAGCTCATTAAAATATTAACGATAAATATTCATATAAATGATGCAGCTATTGTCGATATTTTATTATGCTTGAGCATTTTGGAAGGTTTTTTTCATGGATTTTTTTATATTTCGTTCTTTATTGAAAAGATGTTTTGATCGCTATAGGTTGTTAAATATTATAATTTTACGCCTTTACCAAGGTAAAGGTTCTCTTGGTTATTTTACCCCACCCACGGTTAAGCTTTTATATAGGTAATATAAAAAAACTGTTGAATCTAAGTTAAAATTAATAATACATCCAACAAAACAATTAAATAACGTATACTTAAAAATTATATCAAGGTCTCGTTGACTAAACAACAGTGCTCACAACCAAAAAAACTAGCAACGAAAGAAAATACATTTGTGATAAATTTGCAACCATTATCGTTTATCTTCTAATAGCAACGTCGAAAAATTCAAGGTGATGACTGGTTATACATATTTTTCCCCTCTGTAATATAGTTGTTAAATTTTTTTTAACTTTACTTATTCTGGAAATATTGGTGGAGGACATTTCTACCCGCGGACCTTTAAGACCCACTCTGCCCCATAAGTGCCCCATTAGTTTTATATTATATACTAGACACAATGCAAACATATATAATCGAATATTACTTCAAATTATTTTATACTTGAAATCGTTTCAAGAATTATTAACCGACGTGAAATTCATAATATTGTTAAGTTTGAAAGTTTTATTGGTTGCATAATGTAATTAAATAAAACAGTTTATTATTAGTATTTACTAATCATATTCCTTTTTCATTTTTAGCTCGACGTAATTGCTGATTAATACAAACAAATCATTCGATTTTATTACCTTTTGTTTCTAGTTGACTCTGAATTGCTCTGAATTATTATTAACACAGTACTATAGTTGAGCTCGCTGTATTTATTTCTGCGAAATCGTAAAACATATGCATGTTTACTGTACAAATACGAAGTGTTCGAAATCATTTCGATGAATATCCGGCAATAAAATATTTGACAAGCGTATTGGGGTATAACTATCGGAGCAATAAACTAAACGGATGTAGATAATTGCAAAATCTAGTTGATGAATCGGTTGTGCATCTAAATATAAATATGATGGCCGGATATGGAATACAATAATAATGGCATACAAATAAAATGTGCAGTAATATATGACATTATCGTCACTGTCGATGGTGACTATAAAAACGTGCTACCATAGAAAACCAATGGTCGAGATTGGAGATCCTGCAATTATCGATTGCTAGGTTACTTGAATGTAAGTTGATTTTTAAACATTTTGTTTGTTTATTTAGAAAATATTGCAAAGATCAGAATTTATTGATTATTTCATAAATAGATAAAACCTCGTTACGATGTTTTTCAGGGAACTATGAAAGCGCATTATGCGAAATAGAGAAATATGCTAAGTAAAGAGATCGGTGTAAAGTGGCGTATTATGCAAGAAATGGTGTTGAGCACGATTGTCATGATGGGCTTTTACTGTACTATATAGTATTTAACAATATAACATAAGTTTTTTGTTAAAAATAAATTCTTCAAATTTACACACGGTTTTACAATTTTGTTGGATATACAGCAATATAATAGGGTAGAGCGTGGTTTAAAGGTCCTCGAGTATGAAGGTCCACCACCGATATATCAAAAACCAGTGAAGTTAAAAATTTAACAACAATATTTGCAAAGATGAAAAAAATGTATAATCAGCCATCACCCTGATTCCTACAGGAGAAAAACTGAAATGTTTGAAAATCCATAACAAAAGTATTTTCTTCCGTTGTTAGTCTTATTGGTTGTGAACACTGTTGTTTAGTTTACGAGACCTTAATATAATTTTTAAGTACACGTTTAAATTGAACAGTTTTTTTTATATAAGCTTATAGGTGAGTGAGGTAAAATGAACCAACTGAAGCATTACCTTGGCAAAGGTGTAAAAAATAAGAAATAGCGAAAACAAAAGTATGTTAAGTTGAAATAAGCTATTTTACAAAAAAAAAAAAACAGTTATTTCAACTCTGCTGATGAATATTTCTGACGTTTATTAGTTTATTAGTCATATAGTTGTTTGTTTGAGATATATTATTTGTTGTCATATTGTTACGAATGTGTGGGTAAGCATCCACACAAAGATATAAAAAAACACCTAACTACCCCTCTCCCTATATGCATAAAAACGCCATGTCTCTGATGAGGAGTGTGTCGAGGGCTGAGAGTGGTTGTCTTGTATTAACAGTCTTGAGATAGTCGTGGTGAAGGGTGTGAGTTGCCTGCTTGGCTTCAGAGTCGGCAAACGTGCGGTCCAGGGCACGAAGAGTCTAGAGAACGTTATGGGGGGCAGCGTTTTGGAAGCTGTCCCCAAACCGAAAGAGAGAAGTAAATGTGACTAAATTAGTTTGGTTTTCTCAATATAATTGTTTAATGTGAAAATAGACCTGTGTGCCTCTCCCTACCCTAATTTTATTATATAGCAGCTAACTTTAGCAAGATATTCTTTGCATTTATATATTCTTTATTATAATAAAGATAAACCTTTTGTCTCTTTTTACTTTTGTATATTTAGATCAATTCGATATCTTACTTTCACAAATAATTGTGCCCAACCCCTGCATATTGCTTTTATTATTATTTTATCAATCTAATTAATTCGTATTATAGATCAATCAATTTATTTAGCGCTATATAATACATTACGTATACAATAGTTTTAAAAGAATCAATCTTTTATTTTATACAATAATTCATTAATATTAGATTGCACAAGATCCACGTAAGCTTTCAGTCAATTTCAAGGTACATTTTATTACCATGGAACGAAACCTTGTGATTGTAGTTATTTAAACATTAATTTACTAAATTTAATTGAAATATTTAGTTTTCACATTCAGAAATGATCTTTTGGCTTTCTCTCGCAATGAACCTAGTGACAGGCGTTTTTGTAATGCATCAAATCTTTTGTAAATGTAAGTGAAAGTATAAACTCCACTTATTGCAATGCATGTTTTACTATGAGAATTTAGAAATCACTTATTTCTCATTAATACATGTGCAATTCAATTGCCAACGAAATCCGTGTCGCCATACCATGTTTAAAATTTTATTTGCTTTCTCTATGTAATCATGTAAGTGGTACGCGTCTTGTAAATCACGACAGATTTTTATTTAATAAATATTAATTTCACTTTTATGATCGTAACAAATATTTATTTTATTCAGAAAAAAATGTAATTTATATATTGCAGGAAAAAAATTAAATGTATTCAGTCTAATAAACTTTAATGTCTTTGAAAATATATGTTATTGTGTATATACGCAGGAGTTGTTTATTGGTTTTAAATATTGTTTTTTTTTACATGTATAATTGAATTATTTTATGATAAATTACCTTTGTACGTGATATTTTAATGTGCATCATGATGTAAA